CTGTCTACTCTTTGTTGTTTGTTGCCCCCCCCCTACCTCATATCATTTTGCATCATCAATAAGCTGATGCTGGTTTCCTTAATTAAAACTGCACAAAAATGTTCCTTTCGCTCTAAGATGTTTTATGCCTTTTTTTCGTTTCGTCTATCTGTAGTAATTTGACACACCCCCTTGTATTTAATGTTAATTTGTTCAACTGTTTTGGTTAATTGAAGAGAATGCAAACAAATAGGGAGTTCAAATATACTCATTTACATTTCACTTAAACAAACTAAACTGAATTGAGGATGTAGAATGACATGCTACAAAGGTAGTTCATGAAATTAAGACGTTTACGTACGAGCAACGCCTGACTACCTGGAATTTCTATCCCCTCCATAATAGATAAGACAGGGCTAACAGTATAAAAAATTTTCAGTTGCTAAGGCGATTTGAGCCATGACATGTCACTAAGACGGGTATCTGATGTAAATTGGAATGAAATTGCGCTTCGGTTTCTATTTCAGACAAGAGGCTGTTCGTCTCAGCCCCGTTCTGTGTACAATCTCCGGCGGCTGGTGTGGTAACGTCGCAGCACAATTCAACGAGAACGATACCATTCGGAAGAGTAGTAGAGCGTCAGCTACGTTTGAGATGAAAACCTAGTAAGAACAGTCGTCATTTGACCTACAGTACAGGTAAAAGTCAGAGAAAACTGAGACGTCAGCATTTGGACCTATGCTGCTTAAAGAGCACGAAATAACAAGGAGAACCAGATGGCCGGCGACTTGGATTGTTTGAACAAATATAAGACGAGGAGAGGAGGTGAAAGTCTGCAACAAACCCACCCACCTTTTCGAACATTTTGGCAGCCCTCTCGAAGTTTCCACCAGTTGCAGCACAGCGAGCTGCCTTGTTCAGAGCTTTCTCACTCCAGTGGCTTTCACCCCTTCTTTCCTGGTAGAAGGAGGCAAGTTCGTAGTGTTCTGACGCCTTATCCAAGTCGTTGAGGTAGCGTTTGTATATTTGTGCAAACATTGTGTCATTGTCTTGATCATCGTCTAACAACTTCGCCTTCTTCAGCGCTTCAATGGCCATCCGCGGATCGATGTTGAGAAAACATTCAACAGCGTTGTGGTAGCCCAAATGGGCATAATACTTGTTGCCTTTCTGTTCATACATATTCGCAGCCTGCACAAATGCATCACCTGCCGCTAAAGTCAAGTGTTTAACAAACGGGATAGAACACCAACTCATACCTTTCCACTCATTATTTGATTTGTGTTTCCGTGCAAGAGATTCGTAATAGGCTCCATCACGTTTCGACCTGAAATGGGAAAAAGAACGATGTATTTCATGATAGCTAACGAGAGTAAGGTAGCATATGCGATGTGCTAGTAAAAGGATAGCCAACAGTACTGGCGTAGCCCAAGGATGGTCCGTCGTTTTCTTTTCTAACCTTGCTTCCAGGCGTGTCTACAGGTGGTTGAAACACAAGAGGGCATTTACGACTCGCTAGTGTTCCACTTAAGGCTTAAGAATCGGACATTAGTGCAGGGAGAGTCGATCTGGAGGCGCAGTTATGTGATCGAGCCTAGTCATTGATTTACGTTGCTCTGTACTTGGATGGGATCAAGTGGGGTTACAACGTGCACAGCATGGTGCACTTTCTAGACGATATCACATGAAAAGTTCCGTTTTTCTCCACTCGTCTTCGAATGTTACTTAGGCAAAATCAATCACCACAGCATGTGATCAGAAAGACCAGTAAACATGTCTCCCTAGGACAGGCGGGGAAAGCAACTCCAAACGAAATATGGAGCATTTGGAAGTTCCTTTGCCAAAAACAGTTCTGAGCGGAAGTTAGCCTTGTGCGGAGCACTTGGTAGGCGGGGTGAAGGTCAATGGCTCTGTTAAGTTTGCCAGCCGAGGACCAATATTCTAGCAGCAATCTTAGCATCTTGTCATTGGCTCGGCCTACTACCTTTGCTTTCTCAAAGGCGAATATGTGATTCTTCTGATGTACGTGGTTATAGACCATAGACGGTTTAGCCTTCCGGTTTATTGAGAGCTTATGCTCACGCAACCTTGTACCAAGGCGGCAGCCTAAATATAACTTGGTCTCAGGAATTGACCCATCTTCCTCCTCTTCCGGGGATGATGAAAGCAAGTAAAGGTTATTTAAAAGTATCTCCAACTAGACGACGAGGTTCGCCAGCGTCATTCCTATCCTGAAACCTGCACCCAGTCTTAATCTACACGTATGTCGTCTAATGAACTTTGCAAACTGTAAGTCGGCACATCCTCCGGATATCCAAGCGGCAGTTGTGAGGTTTGTACAAGTTATAACTGCTTGTCTGGATGAACAGAAAGCGATGCTTTACATTCAGAAGTGCCAGTGTATTCACGCTTTCGGGATTACAGACACGAGTTTCCAGTGTGAATTCTGAATGGAGACGTGATGAGCAAAGCCTTCTGGAGAACGGAGTGGTCGTAGTTTGGTGAAGACTGTTCAACACATTTCAGCGAGAAGGGGTGATTTCAGAAGCGGGAGTCCATAATAGAAAGGGCCTACAGCGTCCTCAAAAGCACACTCAACATCCGAAAAGGTCTACTTGTGACATATAAGCTGTCTGTCTGCTGGATGCCTCTCTTCCAGTTTGTACGAAAGACGAGCTTTTCTTTGAAGGACCTTGAGTTGATGGTTAGAAGTGCTCGAAAAGTGACTGGTAATGCGATGGCCCGTCGGTGACTGAAAGGTGCCTACGCGCCCTCTAAGCAGAACCAAACTGAAAGCTGTCAAATAATCGCATTTTCATTCTCTCCTTATTAGCAGCATTCCTATCGCTATTAATAAATTACTAAAACACCCACAGAAAACAGATTTCTCACCCTCTTATTTATTTCTTGGGTAGGATATTATAGTGGGATTGGGTCAAGGGATGAACTCTTATGATTATTCATACAAGCACTATACCTGACACGTCAAATGGTTATCATGATAAGCAAAGGAGTGGAAAAACGCTACGCGCAGAACTTACTCTGGAATTGCGTCGTCCATTGTCAAGAGCGAAAATTCGTTTGTCGAACACTTTCGAGAAGATCGTTAGTGGTTTACCGGTGGATTTTGCTAAAAGATACCCAGACTTCAGCAGGCTAAGCGTAGACGTGAAGGTACTGAAAGTGTACGTCTATAGGCAACTTTTACATCTGCAGGTGAGTGGCAGCCAACCAATAACTCGGATTTCCGCGGCAAGTCTTCTGCTGCTTATCTGATTGGCTGGGCGGTACTATATGGACCAATGAGAAGGCCCTGCTGTTACATGCGCCACCAACACGTGCATGCACCCGGCAATTGCGCAAGCCTGCGCAAACCACCGTATACACGAACGCCCTCGACAGTTACACGAAGTGAAACAACGTAAATGAGTCTTTGCAGATCCGCACCAATTCACGCAAGACACAGTAAAAATTCCCTGCTAAAGATATGTGGGATCTGTATCTACGATAGATATTGCAGTATGGAAGGGGTCCGACATGTGTGCAGAGGATAAATGCTGGGAGAGAAGTAACGCTGATATTCCTTGTCCTCTGTAGAGTATAGTCACAGTATGGCATCTACTCTGTCTTCCAAAGTTTCTCGATGTCAACGGGTGTCTCAGAGAGAAAATATCCAATTTAATACATTTGCGTGTGCACTAACAAATCAGGAAAAGATGCAACCCAGTTTTACGCAGTAATTCGCAGGTACACAAAACGCCTATTGGTGGATGACCGCTGTGGTCCGTACCGTTAGTTAAATATGTAATGGGTAGCGCGTTCGAAATGTATGCGTAAGTGCTGGCACCTACATATTTTTCGGCATTAATACGCGGCAAAGGGTTTGGAAGCACGGATGAAATAACCAAAGTAACACAAACTCGCATTTCATTTCATCCCGACCTACACCGCGGATTGTTAGAGTGATTCCCGCACTCTTCCAGCCATTTATATTCGTTCTTCTTTAGACAATATCAAACCCTCATATAAAGCAGATTTCACAGCCTCTAATTTATTTCCTGGATGGGATATGGCAGTAGGATTGGTTCAGGGAGGACTTTCTATCGAAATTCGTATCAACATTATATCTGACTGGTGAAAAGATAATGACAAAGAAAGGAGTGAAATACACAGCTTGCAATATTTACCCAGAAATAGCGTCGTGCACTTACCAGAACGAAAAGGTGTTTGCGAAGAAGTTTCAGAGGAACATCAGTGGCTAACCGGCGGATTTCGCTACAAAGTACACAAAAGTAAGCAGACGAAGCGTAGACGCACATGTATTGACAGTAGATGCAGCCAAGTGGTATGGAGCCAACAGTTTAGATTTCCACTGCGACTTTCTTGCGGCTTATCAGATTGGCTGGGACAGCACTGTACGCATCAATGAGAAGGCTCTGTTACTGCATGCACCGCCTACGTGTGCATGCACCTTTAAGATGCGCAAATTTACTCCAACCACCATACACATGAACGTGCTCGATGGCTATGCTAAGCGAAACAGCGTAAATCAATCCTTCTGGATCCGCACAAATTCACGCAAGACACAATAAATATCCATTGCGAAGTATATATTCGGTCTATGTGTGTGGCTATTACATTTTGGCAGGGGTGGAGGATGTATCGAGGGTGTTACGGTTAAGAAGGTTAACCCCAACGGCTGCGATCTTCCAGGCCCGGTTCCTTAGGAGAGGAGAGAAGTCACGGGAAGACCGGAGTGGTAGGAAGAGTTCATTATTGTTAGGACGGCCGAGTAATAACTCGGGCCGTCCTAAGGACGAGAAAAAAGAAAGCAACGGGCCAGTCCGGTGTAAGCAGAACGGACCAAGTCGCGCGACTTCAAGAAAGGGGAGTTTACTGTTAATTTCTTTTTCGAGTATAAATGTGATTCCAGGTATTGTTGAT